CCGACCCTTAGGTCGCATCAGCCCCCGGCATACCCAAGATGGGCCATCGTACAGCAGCACACGCTGCCCTCTCTTAAGTCCTCTAGTGCAGTGCATGCAGCTTCCCAGAACCGAGTTGTGTCTCGTGCTTTGGTTTATCGCAATAGGCGCGCGGTCATACTGGGTCTCGGCACTAACGGCCTTCGACATCGTCGACGTTTTCTGTATTCGACCATGAAGATCCTGATGGCGTACGGCGCAACGCGAGGCTAGTGCTGTCAGGTGCGGCGAATTCGTTTTCCGTTTTCCTTCCCACATCTCGCCTTTCCCACCAAAGGTCTTCCGCACCCCACGCTCACTCTGCTCGGACGACACCTCCGGATCTCTACCAGCTTCATCATACTCTTAATTGAACATACACTTCTTGCTTGACGTGCTGGATAGCCGCCGTTTATTGAGCCGCACGTTCGCCACAAGCCGCTGAGCGTGCACTGCGTCTTACATTTTCCCATCTGCGAAAGAAACGACGGAAAGAATGGCATCATCAGCGCCGACTCAAGACCAACGGTCATCGCTCGAGCAGAGTTCTTCGCAAGACAGACACACTTCTCTCGAGGACGAGAGTGTCCCTCCTGAAAAGATCTCCAGTACGTCGCCATATTGATCAGGCTCGTGTGGATGTCGCTCACTCCCGTCTTAGTCGTGCAAACCAGAGCTAAAGCACTCGTTGACCACCGTGAAGGCTTGATCGCTCCGAAGCGCGCGCGGCCACCCCCCAAACATCACAACGCCGCGGGCCCGAGCCGCCATTCTACGATCTCGAGCCTCCCGCAAGGCCGTGACGCGCCCGCTCACACATACCCGCCGCCCAGCGCTGATGTTGCAACAGCCGCGAGTGCAGCGCGCGATGACTCTGGCACGACGGACGCTGCGAATGAAACTCAGAAATCATCGTTCTTGTTCAGGTTCATCTTCGCTATGTGCCCGCCGCGCAAGCAAACCGAGTCGCTTGCATGAGGATCGCCCGGCGCATGTCATCTCTGCCTTACGTATTAGACTCAAGAATCGTGCTTCCTTTGTCAAACTTGCTCTGCATCATCTTGATTGTATCGTACGGCTCACGACCGACCACACCTTGCTCTCCCATCTCCTATCACATAGCACACCTCACCCGGCTCTGTTTCTTGTTATGCACATCTTGAACCGCACGCACGATAGTCGGAATCAATACCTCTCCACTTGTATCTGCGTGTCTGTTATTGATCGAAGAACTTATAGCTGCGAATGTCTTTCCTAACCGTGCGGTGCTGCGCGACCGCGATTCGTGTCGTCGAGCGCGCAAGTCGCGTGACCGTGCAAGGAAAGGAAAGGACAAGGCGGCTCCGCCTTTCTTGCTCACTTCTCCCACTACTCCCACTAGCCGCCTGAACTCAGACTACTCGAGATAGGAAACCCTCGGGAAGCACCGCGCGCGCAAGGCCTTATGGCGGTATGTACATTATCCGCTCACTTATGTACGTGTGCTCATGACGAACGTCCTGTAGGTTGGCCTGGAATAGCCGCGACACCACGACAGAGTAGCTGGTCTCCTACTAGCCGAAGCGCGACGGAGAATCCGGCTTACTAAGTCATCCCAGTCCATTTCATCGAGTCCCGCGTACGCTCTCAAGCTCTCCGGCATCACAACGTATGGCCTGGCGCCTACCAACAACGCAAACAGTCCCTAGTAAGTCCAACCTCGATCAGTGCGACACGCGTGTTTATCGAGAGATCAGTGTCGGATTTTTCCAAGCTGTCACGAAAACGGCAAAGCTGACCTCAGAGGTCAGCACCCATACTATTTTTTTGCGTATTCACTTGTCTAATATGTGATCATCTTCGAACAGCACTTCCAGTCGGCCTGCGCCGCATCAAGCACCTGAGCTCGGTAGCCGTCAAGAAAACATGCCAATCTCCTGGGGCATTATCTCTCTGACTCGAGCGTGCTGCAGCCGCATACCGCCGCTTCATCATACCCTTCGGGCGGCCATGAAGAACTACGTCGCGCCCAGTCTGGCGTGCTTCCATCCCCCAGACGCCGCAAGGAGACACGTTGCGCCCCAAGCGTACTCCCCGTCCAGGAGGAACGAACGGCTTTTCACCTCGCACCACCGCTCAATCACATGCGCGCATGGTCAACGTACTGCGCCAGTTTCATCGGCAAGTTACCCTCCGAGGTCACAGCGGGTAGCGCTCTCACGTCGCGCCGCTCCAGTACCCACTTGCCGCTTCACACGGGGCATCTGTGCCTCTCAGGTGGCTTTCCCGCCGCGGTCTATGTACGGGACGCACTGGCGGCGCGCATGGCGGTTCACAAGTTGCTGCGACTGAATGGCGAAGCACTCTTGCGCCCTGGACACGGGAGGGAGGGGGAGGAGGAGGAGG